CCCGAATACTTGCGGCTAGGATCGTTCTCACACTCGTTCAATTTCCGTCTCACCAGCGCGTACCCCGGGCTCGGGCTAAGCTAACGCCGTCTGGTCAACGCAAATCCGTTCGATTGGCCAGCCTTGCAATCCGTTACCGTAGGCGTACTCCAGTTGTGCCAGTGACAATCTTATCAGGCATCTACGCAATCCTAACAGAGGCGTTCCCTCAATTATAACAGAAAATCATACCCAGTACTACTGTTCACAATCACAATAAACCCATTCTTGTCCTCTGTAGTTGTATGCTTACTTTTAGTAAAGCAAACCCTGGTGGTGGAGGCTTTCAGTTTTGTTCTGTCGCAGTTCCTGCACTCCATGGCGCGTTTCCTAGTGGTTTGGACTCATCAGGTTGAAATAACCTGAATTGAGAGTGGAACCCGGTACAAAGTGATTGACAGCTAGCGTCATGATCACTAGACAATTGAGCTCCGCGAGCAGAGCTTCCCACAACTTTTAGCAGTTGATTGTCGGGTTTCGGAGTACCCGCTGCGTATCTTGGATTGAGACACACAATCTCAATTGCGGCTTCTGTTCACTTTGTAATCAGCCCCTTCCAATACGATCGCTGGGATCGTCACCGAGATGGATGGTTTCGTTGTAGCTCTCCCCAATCTGCATCCCCAGACCGACGGGTTTTTCCTGATCTGGACTCATCAGGTAGCGATAGCCGAACTGAGAGTGGAACTCGGCGCATATTGCTAGGCAGATATCGAAATGAACCCTAGGCTATTGATCTCTGCGAGTAGAGCTTGTCACAACGTTTAGACGTTGATTGTCTGGTGTCGGAGTACCCGCCGTGTATGTTGGATTGTGACACTCAATTGTGGCCTCAGTTCATCTTGAAGTCAGCCTGTGCTATTCCGGTCACTGGGGCCGTGTGCAAAGTGAAGGGTTTAGCTTTCTCTCTTTTTCCGGTGGTCATTGTTATCCTTGAATCTTACTGTGCTTTCGCATGTCAAGAGACGAGTCTTGCGGCACTGTAGACCCGTATACCGCCTTTTTCTGTTTTGTATCATGGAGGCGCTTAGACAGAGTGTTACTTTACTTGCCTGCCACCACCATTATCATTGTACACGTTAGCTGCAGGTAGAATATACCTCAGCTATTGTGCCGCAGTACAAAAGACAAAAAGAAGAAAAACAAGTGACGCAGGCCGGCCGAGTCCCCTGTAACGGATGGACATCGTTCCGGACAGCTAACAGCCGGCTGTCGTATCGCAGAGAGTGATATTACGCCTAGCGAATGAGATCATGATTGGAAGGGGAGGCTAAGCGGGTGTGGCGTGGATAAAGGAAAGCACAACACAAACGCCATATCAGCAAGTGTGTACAACCAAACATGTTCATCGTCCTTAGGACCCCAGCCAGGCAGTCGGGATGCACAAACCGACGCCAACTTCGAGGTGAGGGTTTTCATTTCTATTGATCAAGTCATCGCTTGGCCTCCCCTCTTCCTTGTCCAACCGCACTCCCGGCGCGCAAACAATGCACGTCGCGGGAGTCGCTGTGTTGGCATCCGCAGCACGTGGCCCAGCCATCGGAGCCTGGCGCGTAACATACTGGTGCTGAGCGATTCACTCGCTCTTTCTGCACCAAATTCGCGACCCCGAACACGCTTATTGCTCACACGGTGCTCTCACTAGACATAAGTAGCGAAGGCAGTGATAATCGAACTTGACCAGCCTCTTTATGTCTGTCGACCTGATGGACCAGGTTTCACAACTGTATAAGAGGGTTGAACGGACGGCTGCATTATACACTCTACCCTTCAGGGCGAGAGTGATGTCGCGTCTGCACCACAGGTGGCGGAGATTGGCAAAAGCACCTCCAGCATTTGCATTATGGTTTGTAATCTCATCTTCGATCCCACGGGCGCTAATATAGCTGACCAGGTACTTGAATTCCTGAACAACTTCTAGCTGATCACCACCAAGGGTCAGCGCAAGGATGGGTCCCTGCCAATCTTGGAGGAAAACTTGGCACATCGATGGTCAAAGCAAAGCTCGAAACGGCTAACAGCCAGTGCAGCCTGGCACGTTTGGGCGCTGACACATATGAGGGCAATGTCGTCCGCATACTCCAAGTCAAGAAGTCGTTCACCACGAAGTAGCTCCACACTTTCTAGGTCGTGTCCAGCGAACGCTGTTTCCATGAATTCATCAATAGCGAAGTTAAAGAGGAAAGGTGATAACGGGCAAGCTTGTCTCACACCGCTGGAGATATTGAATGACGGCGACAATTTGCCATAAAAACTCACTCTGCCCGAACTATGCGCGTACAGTGCTTTCATGATGTTTACATATTTATAGGTCACACCTTTTCCTAGCAGACAGTCCCAAAGGCACATCGACCCACCGAATCGAAGGTACCTTTTATGTCGATAAAGACGACAACGATGGGTCGCCAATACACATGGCGGTGCTGCAACAATTGACGCAAAGTGGATGCGGCCACGATTTCGACAAATCACGACTTGATTTTCGGGGGTCTGGCCTTCGCGGGCGCTAGTCAGTCTGTGGAGAAGGACAGGCAAACAATTTAGAGGCAATTGAGATCAGACTGATCCCTCTATGGTTGCCATATTCCGAACAGGAGCATCCCTTGGAAATTGGAACTAGAACGGAGCAGCTCAAGTCTGTCGGACAGTCACCTGCTTCCAAATTTCCATTAGCAACTCGTGTGAATGATCCAAAAGAGCAGGTGGCCAGGATTTGTAGAGTGCTGAAGGAATTCTATCTGGGCCAGCAGTCTTATGCAATTTCAACCGTCTGGTCTCACGTTCGACTTCTGCGCGTGAGGGCGGATCTAGGGGGACGGCCCATGGAGAAGAGCACTCAAAGGCCGAAAGAGAAGGCGATAACTAAGTTTGGTTAAACTGCCTTGCAAAGTGTCCGGCCCAACGCTCCAAGTGTCTTGATAAGCTATGGATTGGCTGTCCACGCTCGCCTCTTATTGTCGCTAACACTAGGTCTCCTGCTGACTGTTTCCCGTATCAGACGGAATAACTTACCATGATTACCAACGGCAGCGTCTGTTTCCATTTTCGATGCATGATGAGACCAGCAGGCTTCGCGGTCTCTCTTCAGGCTTGCACTCAGTTTGCCCTGAGACTTTTGTAAGTCTCCTTGTATTCGCTTCATGCCGGATTACGCCGGCGAACATCCATAAGTTCCAGAGAGTTTGTAGAGACCAACTGTCTAGGTGGACAGTTTGATTCGCCACATGAAGACATACCTGCTGATAGTAACCTTTGCCGATTAGGCCTGTCACCACAAACACATAGTGATGCATCGGTTCTCTTCTATGCCGGAAAATTTTTCGCCTTTTCTAAGTGGTACTTTGGGTCACTGTCCCACCAGTTCTCTCCTACACCGGAATATTCTCGCGTTTTGACCAGAGGATCTTCTTACAAATGTCGTACCCTATTTTTTCGAGTTGATACCACTTCCTGAACATTTCCGGCAATCATTTTTGCGTACCTGTCTTACGGACCGGCCCCCTCTGCGTTTTCGATTGGGAATTCACTTTCCGATAACTTTGAGGCCTTTTGGAACATGTCGTCCATCCGCTTTGGAACGAATAACTTCAAACAAATTGGGTAAGAACTTAACTACATTACCATTTATCAGGGTTTTACATCACTCTCATCTTCCGCCTGCGCATTGATTCCCACGGAAGATCCAACAATGTCATCTGGGCCTGAAAATCAGTTCATGCAACTGTCTTACACATTCCGTGTACCTCGGACAATCCTTATATTCCTTATATTGATGGACCTTCTATTTATTAACCGGTTACTTAACCTTTTTCATCGTCTGACTCTTCAACTCACGAAACTCTTCCATGTACACAATTTTGCAAAGATCCTCAAAAAATCGTTATTTTCACTAGCGAACCCCTAGGACAGATTGAAGAAGTGCATTTCCCTGGGAATTTTCTTGGGTATCCAATCCGCCTCCGCTTTGGTCAGTGTTGCACCTTTGCCAGTCCAGCTACTGGTATCAATTTTCTGGCGGGCCGAATTTTTAACCGATGCGATACCCACATTTTCATTTTTGCTTGATATAACAACTGTACAAAATAGTTCTTTTCTGACATTTTACTGGTATTGTATAACATTTCCTAAGCATTTACCTATTCCAGGTATTTCGTGTTTGTGCATTGGTAAATGCTTGTAAATTTATGGTCATGCTTCGGAATTTTTGGGGATAAAATTTTATTTATCTATTTGATTTTGATTACCTTAATGCAACACTACCCTGCTCGGTGCACGCTTGTCTGGGATGCGGCGTACTTTTCAGCTCTCGTCTGACAAAAGAAGTGTGTGTGTATGCTTCATCTGTCTGCAACTGTTGATTACAAGTAATATAAATAAATAAATGTTTTACTTTTCGTTAGTGTAAGAGATTGTTCCCGCATGGGGACACTTCATAAGATACGCAATTGTGTTTCACAAGTGGCGTCATCCGACATGATGTTGGAAAGAATTTACTCTAGCATGTGGAGTTTGCATGTATACAGGTTACATCACTTTTGGACTAATACCCTAGCGATTACGTAGTGTTTTGTATTTTCCCCTCGTTTTTTTATTATCTTGATTGCATCTCTGCTACTTCTGTCCTTCTTATCTAGAATGGATTCACTCCTTTGCATATTGCTTGCAAAAAACAGAAATATCGCCTTGTCGAGTTACTGTTGCAGTACGGTGCTCAAGTAGACATCATCACCGAAGTGAGTGTTTTCCCCTACTCCTTGCGTGCACCATACAAGATCTTTGTTCCCTTGTCAATGCATATCACCCTCGTCCTCGTCCTCCTCCTCTTTTCCTTACTTTTCCCTCCTCCTCCTTCTACTTCTTCATAGTCCGGTCTGTCTCCTCTGCATGTGGCCGCCTTTATCGGCAGTTGTGAAATTGTCCAATTGCTACTGCAACGTGGAGCTCGTGTCGACCAGGCGACAATGCGATGCGAAACCGCTTTGCATTTGGCTGCTCGCAATCGTCAAGTGGAAGTCGCTCGCGCGCTCATCCATCACGGAGCCACTGTGGACGCGAAGGCGAAGGTGCGTAGCAATTCATTTAGAAATAGAAATTAATTACATGTGGCTTCTCCCTACCTTCATTATGATCTAATGGATAACTACATTTCTTCACCTAAGTTTGATCAACTAAGGTTGTTGACGACATCTTTCGCTAGAAGGAGCTGGCGCAAACGTTTTTCCGGGAGCGACACATCAAGGAACAGTGTCCTAACTAGATATCAGTACTATCTACAATACATCAGCAATGAAAAGCACTGCAAACCTCATCAATTGCGCTTCCACTGCCAACATTAATACGATAGTCAACAATTCACCTAATTAGCTCAACACTTTCGCTTCAAACGTCGACTGTACATGTACTTGCATTTTACATGAACCAATGAAACAAGATAGCCACATCAAAGCCTCCACGCATCGCTCCCTACGAGTTGTATGCAAATCAAGCCGCACGCGATATGTAGCGGTCCAACATAACAGGGGAAACGCACACCCACGTCCAGAGTATGAAAGATTATAAGGGACACCATAAAGTCAAACATGGTAGGAGGTGGGCGCCGGTAGTGTTTTACCAGTCTGTCAACTGAACAGAGATAAGAAGTGCTTTTTTATAACTTCTCTGGTCTACAAACGCCTTTAACGGATCTTTTGAATGTAACAGTTTATCGCACTAATTCTCCTTCTAATTACCGAGATCACTGTATTTTCGTTTTGCTTGACGCTTTCTCAAGTTTTGCACATGAGGGTTTGATTTCTCTCTTCGGCCGCAATTTCTAAATGTTTGCTATCACAAAGCAGTATGTATGCTTATTAGGCCATTTCTTTAACCTTGACTTCCGTGCTTACCATTTACAAATAATCCAACTGCGCATTTTATTGCTCCCACTCGCCATTGGAAACATTCGGCTTGAGCAGGTGGGTACTTCTGTTCTCTTGGGATCAGTGTCTCTACGGACGTAACTATTGGAGAGTAGGTGTCTCTCCTTATCGGTAAAGCCCAGTCGGCCTTTGCCAATTTGCGACACTTGTGACTTCGTCGCGACATCTGGACTTTCCCAAAAGGCAGGGTTTACGATGCTTATGTTCGCGCGATACTTTTTTGTATGGATGCGAATCCTGACTGATCCGAGTGGTTGACATTCGTAGGCTTCCAGCCTTCGGCAACCACTGTCTGCGGAGAAGCGCCTGTGTATGGTGACTACACCGAGGGCGCTATGATGATACCAGACAATGCTTCTTTAGCAACGTAAATCTCCTGCTCTATGAGCTTGTTCTGCACGTGGTCTGACAAGCGATTACAGTGCCTCGCCCTGTTAGTGCCTGCAGGACTGCATTGGAAGAGACCGCGTAGGTACCAACCGACCACCTGACGACAAAACATCAAATTGTTGACACCCCATCTCTCCGTTGCTGGTCTGGTCTGTCTTTCTGATTGGGAACCGGAATATTAAGCATGCCGATGCCTTACAACACTCAAAACACAAAACCGGTTGCGATGGTAACAATGCGCGCAAGTATGCGTGAACTCCAAATTTCAAAAGTACTAACTTCTTAAAATGACAGACAAAAGAAACAGCGTGTGAAAAAGGGAGAAATCTTTTTGGATTCTGCATTACTCTCTGATATCGTACATATTCCTCTTCCTAGTTAAATTTCCATGATTTTGTATGGCTCAATGCCTATTTCGGAGTATATATATATATATATATATATATATATATATATATATATATATAATACGTACATTACTCCCACATACGTATGTCTTCGTTCTGTACATATTGAGCTGTCTCTTCAGCAGCAATTTCATCTACTAATATACCCATTTTTGCAACAATATACGATACGTTTTACTTGTAGATAAGAGGGTCTATTATTTTTTTACCCACACACTTATTTGGAATTCCATGCGGCAGGCTGATCAAACGTTACAGCGGGCGATATTGCATCGATGTGTCCAAACGGACTGAGATCATGGAAGGGCACTATGGTAAACTCCGTTAGTACGAGGGTTATAAACACTGGCTAAGGCTGTACTTCGAATTACAAAGTCTCGCAAGGTGTGATTGGGTTGGATCAATATGTCGGGGTTCGGATGAAGGGTCACAATTCGTCTCACTATGGCTGTTGTCGTCGCATGAACTATCGTGCTGTCTAAACATTATTGTGCCATTTCATTTCGCCTCACAAATTAGGTGCGGAATATTGAGATGTGACACCTGACGCAAAGCAACGCATGTGGTTCACCGCCCTATTTCAGGAAGCGTACTTCTAGGGAGGATATTCCTATTTAAAAATAGGTCATTCAACTCAGGGAATACCTTTGTCCAATGTATTTAAATGTTTTTCGGTGTCTAATGGTAATGCTGTCTTTCTGCCTGTTTATCCACCAGTTCGGTTGTTTGGCTTTTGTGGTACAAACAAAACGATAAAAACAGCCTGTACGCCACCCGTGGCTCAGTTCAGTTAGGCCATTACACCATTGGCCACTGTCACACTGGAAATGTAAACAACGCTTTTGCGTTCAGTCTTTATTGCTTCTGACCGTTGTTCTTGCTATCCGATGCTTATGAAATTTTTCTCCGATTTCTTTTTCCTTGAAAATGTGCCCGAATGTTCCTCATCATTTCCTCTCCCTTCGGTAACTTTCATTCACTGATGCTGTTGGATATTCTCATCTTTCTTGTGTCGACACTGGGGGTCCTGCCTACTGTACTCATCGCTCCTCACTGTGCTCGAGTCGTAAACGACTTGTAATCATCCGTAGCAGTAACAGCAGTACACCTACACTTCGCTTCATTACCATGCACCGTCACCCTCTTAGAGTTCGACTTCGCTCTGTATGCCATTCTGGAGAATACACTGGAAAATTGTGGCCGTAGTAATGTTGTGTTGTACCCTGGTAAGATCAGCTTCGTGACTCGATGTACGCTGACAACATCGCCGTGATTTGCAATACTTCTCAGGTTGCCAACATCATGCTGTACAGGTTGGAGATGTCTGAAGTGGTCATCTTTCGCCTGATTAGACTTCAGCTGTTACTCGGAAACGCCAGGTCACTGGCCCCCACTTAAAAGAAAAAAGATTGGTTTCGGACGTGCCGAGAGGAAACGAAATGTATTGGCTAATTACACCGTCCAATATAAAGGTCCAATCGAACATTCAGGAACGGTTATAAAGCTCAGGTGGAGACTTCTAGAGAGGTCAACTTACCGCTCTCCTGCTAACTGGCCGGTTCACCCAGCTGGCTCTATGTTCACCCAATCCATGCAGGAGAGTGACGGCTCACCGGCCATGCTTTGATTCCGTATCGGCGCCTCGGCTGTTCGCCTAGAGATTTTCTTCCTGAAATTTCTCCCCATTAAGCTTTATTGTATCTTTTCAGCTTTTGGTTGACCAGCATAGGTGACACGAACTTGCGCCGGCGCTTCAGGCTTTGGGCTGTCAGATTTCGGAGCGAATCAAGTGCTTGGTGTGTTGGGGAGTTTCCGGTTCACCTGCGCCGACCAGTATGTCCAAAGGTAACTTCACTGCTGGTACTCGCTGTCAGTCCGTACATTAAACAGCTGCTTAGCATGTCTCCCCCAAATTGTCGTCTCAACCTGGATCATCAGCCTAAGTAGATAAAACAGATGGAACAACCCTTGGATCTGCTTCGTGGCTCCTCGCTGTGGAGTCTCGAGTACTGCGAGATCTTGCTTGTACCAGAGTTGTCAGGCTTGAATTGTGCATTCCACGTGAAGCAGCACGTATGTGTTAATCAGTTGCGAACAGACAGAGGGATCAAACCTCCCAAATTCCCTCCGCTGCATCCTACTTTGTTGGTTTCCAGTCTTAGACGTGTTCTCAGATTGTTGTGACTAGCGTAGGTCAGCCTGGATTAGTACCCCAAGGTCGCGCTCCTGGGTGACTGCTTGCAGAACATGGTGTCCAAGCTTGTATTTGATGTTCGGCTCTTGGTGTATGTAGACCACCTTACACGTCCCCGAATCGAACTGGAGCAGATTGTGGAGTGACCACTTATGCACTCAGTCTAGGTCTCGCTGAAGTGTATCGTGTATCTCCTGGATGTGGCGATCGTCCGCCACATCTTAATCTCATCAGCAAACAACAAGAAACCTGATACAATTATAATGCCTAAGCCCGTTAATGAACACGGGAACACATCCTTGTGATTAACTTTGACATCGCCATGGCGAATACGTTAGGAGAATGAAAAGAATGAACCTAAATGTTTAGGCATTCACTTGAGATGGTCATAGTGACTCGGTGTAAAATATTCACTTATTCGACTATCGTTCTGGGTTCGATAAAGTTTCTTCTCATTCCTTTGTTCGGTTCCTAGGAAGGCATTTCGCACCAGTCCGGTTCAGTTTCCCAGTATGTTACTTCCCATAGTTGTCGTTTGATGGACTGGCCGACTGAAGATTTCAGTCCACCACATTAGTCCATTGTGCGATTCGCAAGCGAGATGCCTCCAGAACAGGGATGTCCAAAGTCCGCCCCGCGAGCCAAATGCGGCCCTCGTTAACATTTCAACTGACCCGCGGCCTCGTAATGTGCTAATAAACTCATGCTTGGACTTTATTCGTATATGTGGACTTTTTGTTCTTATCTTCATGTCAGACTGAATATCGCCCGACATATTTTGACGTCACATAATGTGACCCTCCTTGCAAAAATGTTTCGACACGCCTGCTCTAGATAGTAGTAGTAATTGTTGTTGTTGTTGTTAGTAGTAGTAGTAGTAGTAGTAGGTAGTAGCTCGGAAAGGGTATGCTTGGATCGCACCCCATCTAGCGTAGACAAGGCCTGCGGTTTTAAGGGCGCCTTTAACTCTGCCGAACGATTAGTCTCGCTCGATAAATCTACCCAGAAGAATGATTGATGATATAAGCGAACACAGTACATGCCTGCGTACGCCGTGGTTATCTCGCTCCACTTTAGAAGACAGTATCACGTTTGACGTCACGGTACCTCCGCCTAAATGTCAACTAACAAAATCCACTGTGACTCACCAAGCA